GATTGATGCTAGCTCCTAAATCACATAAAGCATGACCAATCGTTAGTGAACCAATTGAATATGGAATATTAAATATACCCGGATCAGTGAGTTTTGGTGGAAGATTCCACTGGATGATTGCACTGCACTCTTCTACCAAAGCGATGTTTTTATCATGTTTCGACTTACTCTTTCCTGATAAGAGCTATTTCATGAATTTCACATACAAATACACCTGTTCAAGAACTTCACAAAACAAAATGTTGACATGTACTTTATTCAACATCTCCATGAAGTTTTTAAACTGAACCACTTCCTTTTATTTCTTAGGTGTATTTTTCAGAATCCGGTAAGGTGGTTTGATGTAATCAGGTAGCTCTAAATTAAGTTCAATCAAGATTTGTCTCTTGTTTTTCCTGAAGGGTGAATTTTTATAAGGTGTAGTCTATAACTTCTTCATCATTATCATTCTCACTTTTTTATCCCTCTAAGTTCTTATCAACTTCCATTTCGATTACCACTTTTTTCCCACTATTTTTCTTAACTTCCCTCGATTCTTTCTTTTCCTTACTCACTTTGCTTCACAAGTCACCACTTTATTTCTTAACTCAATGACTTTGCACGTTTCCTTATTTGGGTTATCCAAGTGTTACATATAAATCACAGGCTTGAACTAGTTTAAGGTTTCATTTGTCAAGATAATTGACCAATTTACATCTCTAAGTTCTTTATTGATGCTTCAGTATTCTTATTCATGAGGATCTGATCTTGCACCATCTCACTCTGACCTTTATACATGCTTGCTTGAGTTTTATCCACCTACTCAAAACTTGAATGAGTTACTTTAATGAAGTTATCTAAGGTTTCCTCTAAAGGTGATGGTTTGCATTGAGGCGCTTAAGAAACTTGTTGAACTCCCTGATTAACATTCAAAGTTTGACTGTTGCTCCACTTGAAGTTTAAATGATCTTTCCAACAAGGATTGTAGGTGTTGGAATAAGGATTATTCTTTTGAAAATTAGCATACTGAACTTAAGCACTCTCAACTTCTATTTTACAATTACCATTTACATGCCACTCTCCACAAAAATCACAACGAGGTGTTTGAGTTTTGCTAACATTTTCCCGGGCTAGTTATGTTGCCGGTAATTGTTTAGAAAATGCTTATATTTGAGTGATAGTGTCGTGTTCAAATCAACTACATGAATACCCTTTTGTTTCATCACTCGTTCACTTGAGCGATATTCATTATGGCATATATTATCAATTAGTATCTTCAACTCTTCATTAGTCTTTGATCCCAACGTACCTCTAGTCGAGACATTAAGAAGCATTCTTGTTTGTCGTTTTAACCAATCGATGAAGCGTGTCATCTGTTCTATATCACTCATATTATGATTCAGACACTTGTAACAATTTGAATTTTCCCATGCATCAGACAATGACTCAGACTCTTCCTGCACAAAGTTGGAAATTATGGTTTTTCTCTCCACAAACTAAGCATTTGAATAATACTACTCAAGAAACTTGTCTTCTAGCTCTTTATAGGTTTAAATAGTACCATTTAGGACATATTTTAATCAATCTTTCTTGTGACATATCAAAGAAAAACTAAACAAACGTAATTTTACATGATCGGGGTCGGGGAATCCACGGGACGGAGGGTACTTCCCTAATCCCCACCCCGAAGTGTTATAGAGGGAACTTTTCCCTCCATCCCTGTCCACACGGGAAAAAAATCTCCGACTTCGGAACTCCGACCAGATAATCACGTAATTTACTAATCTATTAGGAAATGAAGAATCATTAGTGGACAATTTTTTTTGTTTTATTATATAATATATTGTTTCACTACCCAAGTACTCAACTATAAAAAAATGCACTTATTACATACAATGTACACACTGTCTCCTCTTCAACCATAAATTTTTTTTGTCTCCTCCATTTCCCATCTCCTCTATTCTCATCATCATCATAATAACCACTCTCGTTCGTTTATTGTGCTTATGGTAATTTCTCTTCAACTTCACTATATTTCAATTAGTACTTGTTTTTCATTCAATTAGTAAACTAGTGGTTATGTTATTGTAAATGAAAATGCTTTTGCAATTTTTTTGTTATTGATGCAAGATGTGTTTATATTCAAAAAAGAAAGAAAAATACAACATATATGTTTTTTTTAAAATAATAACGAAATACTAGTGTCATGATTTTGACTGAAAAGTAGAGAATTTTTTCTAAAACTCGATCTCCAATTCTCTGTGGCGATGGGAAAAAATATTGCCCCGTGGTAGGGATAAAAAAAATTTAGAGGCAGGGCGGGAAACGGGGAAGCATTCTCCGCACATTCTATGCCCCGTTGACATCCCTACCCTATATATAACAATTATTGCGTGACCAGATAACATGTCATCGTGTCAGTGCTAGTAAGCTTTTCGACCGTGATGTGACATCATCACGCCCACAATGTCAGCATCGTGACCGCATGAATCAAGAGGCCAAATGCTTCTATTTTCTTCCTTTTTCTTCAATATTTTCAATAAGTTCATATTTCTTTCTCTTTATAAATTTTTACTCATTTATTCACACTTTGCCATGACTTTTGCTCATTATTTTACCGATTTCATCTGAAATTGCTCGTAAAAATTACGTAATGACCAATTGTTATCATAAGGAAAATATGCACTTTAAGTCGATGATGCACTACAAAATATCAACTTAAAGTTATGTGGTTGCTTTGAAGGAGCAATCATTTTTAACAACTTTGATGTTCTGCATGATGTATGTATTTCCTACAATAAATTTAGACTTATGCTATTGAACCAAATAGGTTGGTACAATCTAAAAAGATCGAATAAAAAATAAACAACATGATATATGAAAGAAGAAATCTTGTTTAAAAAAATAACCTAATAGTTATCCGAAGAGATAAAATAGATACCTTTGCATCTATTATAACCATTTTTTAGTGCTCTCTGTTTGACACGTTGGTGACAGACCACATATCTCTAATCCTGACAACAAATTTTCATAAATCTCATGAGTCATTGATATCTTCAACATTTTCAACTGGACGCATCATTTATCAATAACGATTAAACTAGAAATAAATTCACATTAGCTCTCTTATTAAAAAATCAACAACATTACCAACATATTCAAATAAGTTATATAAATAAATTATCCTCATAACAAAGCTAATACTTAACCAACATTAACAACTGATTGATATTGGGTATAAGTTTAAACAAAACCCATGAGAGGAAGCACATAAATTATATTCACTAAACGCATAAACAGGGAGGAAAAATAAAAAAATGTGTTAACTTTAAAGGTTTACCTCTCTTGTTCAAAAACTTTAAAGATTTATGCACTTGATAAAGTACAATTCATCTCCCGTCTTCCTTCAATGTATCTTCTTTAAGCTTATTAACAAAAACTATAGTGGAATTATATATTGCTTCAAAGCTTCTTAAACGCTGTTGATTCAAAATAGAAAATGATTTTATTGAGTAATGAAAAAATTGTATTGACAAACTTTTCTTTTTCTCATGTAACCTTTCTTCTCCTGTTGTATTGAGCATTGAGAAATTAATTATATTGAGTAATGAAAAAATTGATTATATGATAAATATGTATCATTAATGCGAATGATAAATATTGGTTTACCATATAAAATAAATATATATGGTTAATGCGAATGATAAATATTGATCTTACGTTTTGGTAAATACGGATGATAAATAATAGTAATTAAGATTTGTCAAACATTAAATTAATTAAATGCGTTATGTCCAAAAATAGCTTTGATTATTAAAAAATAACAAAATGACTACTAATAAAAATCAAAAGTTTTTAACTTTCTAAGATAGAGATTAGATGACATGTTGATTGAATGATGTAGAATATATGTATAAATATAATTATTGTTTTGAGTTAGCATGAGCCATTTACCATTTTGTATGACTTGCAAATTTAAGTGCTTCAGTTTACACGAGGGCATACTAGTAAAATAACCCATCTTTGAAGTGCTTCATTTTACACGAGGGCATATTCTACTTCCAATTATTTGATATACCCCACAAAAAACGACTTAAAAATCTCAAAAATATTCTAAGCCGCTAATAACGCCTAAGGTGTCAATCTATCCAATGAACTTCACGTGGGCTCTAAAAGCCAAAAGCTACTCCTCTTTACGGACACACTCACTTCATCACTACAAATCAATCTTCTAGAACCTTACTTCAACTTCAATCTCCATTGCATGCTTCATTACCAGGTTAGTTACTATACTATATAGTTTCAATTTAATATTTAAACTCTTAATCTTTCTTTTTACTTAACTTTAATGATGTTAGTTAATGTTTATTTACTTGTTAAGTGCTGCTAATTAGTAATTAATGTTCACTAGTTTTTCATTTAGGTCAATTTTATGAGAAACCTTGTTTCTAATGGTAGTTGAACTATGATCTGCAGAAATTTTTTGTAATGGTTGTTGAATTTGTATACAAGAATTTCACAAATGTTGGATTGAAGGATTGAAAATTGAAAGTGTTTGTTGCTAGTTTGTAATTAGTCTAATTCTAATTAGGGTTGTTCTATGGTATGGTACAGTTAAGTTAGAAAACCGAATCGAACCATAGTAAAAGGCCATTCGAACCAAATCAAACCGTTTCAATTTATTCAGAACCAAACCGAACCAACAATAATGGCTTGGTATACCGGTACAGTTTACTAACCGTACCAGTTTTTCTCAAACTGAACCATTTGTTAAAGAACCAAACCGATATACTTTTTTTCTGAATTTTTTAATAAAAGTTTTTTAACTTGTTTTTAGCATTTTTCATTTTCAGTCTCGGTTTCAGTTTCGGTTCGGTTTGGTTGTTATTTGGTTCGGTTCTAGAACTGTTGATTGATTCACAAACCAAACATAACAATTCGGTTATTTTAATTTCAGTTCGGTTTGGTGGTTTTTTTGAAGTCCTAATTCTAATGGAATATTTGTTTTTCAGAATACAAAAATGGCAACAGTGACTGCTTCTAGTAACATAGTATCCCGAACCTCTCATGTCAATGTACCAACTGTTTCATGTGAGTCTAAAATGGGACCAACGAGACTTGGTTCTATAAGGAAAGCCAATACTCACAATGGACTCAGAGTTTTGAACTCGTTGGATGAGATACTAAATAGGACGCCGATTAAAATGAAGGGAGTGCAATCGAGGAAGAAGGGTGTTCAGAGAAAGAATGTTAGGCCTAAAGGTATTGTAGTTTGTGGCATGAATTTGATCTTTGTTGGAACTGAGGTTGCTCCGTGGAGTAAAACCGGTGGTTTAGGCGATGTTCTTGGAGGTCTTCCACCAGCATTAGCTGTAAGCTTATTGTTATGGTTTTCTTTTTCCTCTTAAATTAGATATGTCTTTCAGATGGCACTCTTTTTCGAGATTAGTTACTATGTACGGACCGTGTGCAATAGTTTTACACGATTATCTAATCATATTATCATAATATTACTTCTTAAAGTGTATGCGAAAATCTACGTGGTAAATTATGATTGATTGTTTGTGTAAAACTCTTTTACATTGTTGGTGCATAGTTATTAAAATTCTCTCTTTGACACACTCACAATTGAAAGTTATGTGAGTCCAATGCGGAGACTCGCATTATTTAGCGGGATTCTTGTGAATTTCACCCAATTATATGGAATGTGTTGATAGTAATTCTTCTTGCTGGTTGACATATTTGGTGTTGAGTGACTAGTGAGAGCGAGAATTTCTCTAATTAATCCTTCTTTAGGCTAATGGGCACAGAGTTATGACAGTCACTCCGCGTTATGACCAATACAAAGATGCATGGGATACAAGTGTAACAATCGAGGTATATTTTATTCTCCCTGACGAAATAAGAAATCGTGTTTTCATTTTAATCTTCATTGAACCTATTTTTCGTTTTATACCATTGTGCTATGCTATAGTTAAATTGTATTGTAATCTGTTTATTACAGGTAAAAGTAGGAGATAGAACAGAAAAAGTCCGCTTCTTCCATTGCTTTAAACGAGGAGTTGATCGCGTCTTTGTAGATCACCCTATATTTCTTGAAAAGGTGAGAGTATTTCTCTTCTTTTTTTGAATCTATACACTCATTGTTTTACTTGCAGAGACTTACTGATGATGACTGAACTTGAAGGTTTGGGGGAAAACTGGAACAAAACTTTACGGCCCTGCTGCTGGAGACGATTACCAAGACAATCAACTTCGTTTTAGCATCTTCTGTCAGGTTCTATAACCATATCCATTTGGTTACAAATGTTCTGTTAGAAATTATTGTATTTGTTGCTTTTGATGCTTCTAAGTTTGCTGCATTTGTATTATACTAGCATAATATCGAAAACTCGTTTGTGGTTATTCTTCAAATTAATCTTAACAGGCAGCTCTGGAAGCAGCAAGAGTTCTGAATCTTAAGAGCAATAAGTATTTCTCAGGACCATATGGTATGGACTAAGGTCATAAATGGAGTATATGGTTGAAGATCTTTTAAGCACGACGTTTTGATTTTTTTTATTTTTTTATGCAGGTGAAGATGTCATTTTCGTCGCTAATGATTGGCACACTGCCCTTATCTCATGCTACATGAAATCCATGTACCAATCAATTGGCATCTTTAGGAACGCCAAAGTAGGTCTAAATTACAGCTTGATTATAATTTATTATTATACCGTAACACTGATAGATATTAATTGTTTACCATTTTTAGGTTGTTTTTTGTATCCACAACATTGCTTACCAAGGAAGATTTGCATTCGCCGACTATTCGCTTCTCAATCTCCCTGACCAATTTAAGAGCTCCTTTGACTTCCTTGACGGGTATGTTTTTCATAAATTTGTGAACTAACCGACCAATTTAGCATTCATGACCGATAAAAAAGTTTAAGTACCTTATGTTGTTCTAATTTGTAGGCATGCTAAACCAGTTGTTGGAAGAAAAATCAATTGGATGAAAGCAGGAATTATAGAATCTCATCAAGTTTTAACTGTTAGTCCATACTATGCACAAGAACTAGTGTCAGGCCCAGATAAAGGAGTTGAATTGGACAACATTCTTCGCCGAGTTGGTGTTACTGGAATCGTAAATGGCATGGATGTTCAAGAGTGGAATCCGTCCACCGACAAATATATAAGTATCAAATACGATGCCTCAACGGTAAGAACAGTTTATTCAAGATGTAAAGTTTCTCTAAATTGGGTTGTGGCTCATAAGAAATAGAATTGAAGTTGTTTACATCAACTCTGCATGAAAATTGAACTCTACGGAAAATACATAACAAATTTTAAACTAACTCGGCTACTTAGGTATTGGAAGGAAAAGCTCTTCTGAAAGAAGAACTGCAAGCAGAAGTTGGATTGCCGGTTGACAGAAATATTCCTCTCATTGCTTTCATTGGTAGGCTTGAAGAGCAAAAAGGTTCTGATATTCTTGTAGAAGCCATTCCCCAATTTATTAAGGAGAATGTTCAAATAGTAGCACTAGTAAGTATAACGAAAGAAAAAACGTAAACATGATTTTCTGATCTATTCTTACAAAGATATCTCATTTGAATATGTTCCGACATTTTTCTTAGGGAACGGGAAAAAAAGAAATGGAAAAGCAACTTCAGCAACTTGAAATATCATACCCTGACAAGGCCAGAGGAGTTGCGAAATTCAATGTACCCCTAGCTCATATGATGATTGCAGGAGCTGATTTTATCTTGATTCCAAGTAGATTTGAGCCTTGTGGTCTTATTCAGTTACAAGCTATGCGCTACGGAACTGTATAGTTTCAACTTTTCAGTCATTTCCTAGTGGTTTTCCAACCACGTCTAGACTGTCCGATAAAAAATCTTCAATGCCGATTTTAATTTATATTCTTGGACTGTGCTAGGTACCTATTGTTTCCTCGACGGGTGGATTAGTGGACACAGTCAAAGAAGGGTTTACTGGATTTCAGATGGGTTCATTCAATGTTGAAGTAATACCACTACCTACAAGCTTTCTTATTGTATGCAATTGTGTCCATAGTAGATTAAGTACAAAGAACTAACCATTATCTTATTTTTCTTAAATAATTTGCTTTAGTGTGATGCTGTGGATCCTGTTGATGTGGATGCTATAGCAAAGACTGTCACAAAGGCCCTTGGAGTCTACGGAACTTCAGCTTTTGCAGAAATGATCAAGAATGGCATGGCTCAAGATCTTTCATGGAAGGTTAGTTAGAGCCTAATTTCAAATTATTTAAGAATTTTTTATCCAAAAAAATGCTTCTAAAGAAGTGTATCAAAATAGGCTATAAAAGTATCCATCAAGGTGAGTGAGTAACTGAGTTTTGTTTTGGATGTAGGGGCCTGCTAAGAAGTGGGAGGAAGTGCTGCTAAATTTGGGAGTTCCTGACAGTGAACCTGGAATTGATGGAGAAGAAATTGCTCCACAGGCAAAGGAAAATGTGGCAACTCCATGATTAAAATAATGTTGTGATGGAAGCTTCTTCGAGTTTCCATCTCTTGAAGTTTCATGGAACTTCACCCGAGTGATGGAAGCTTCTTCTAGTTTCAATCTCTAGATGTTTCATGGAACTTTACCTGAGTGATGGAAGTTAATATAAGTGCATTTTTTCAAGGAATTTAAACCTGTGATTATAAGTGATCTTGGACAGTTTATTATTATTTTGCCTTAGAATGATATATTAGCATTCCTTTTAGTTCGGACTAAACCAAATTGGTTGATGTTCAACTAAGTGAAACATGTTCTCTCTTTCTGAACCAAAATGGTTTTAGATTTAGGAGCAGAGTCATTTTAGTGTGTTGAACTGGATTTTATTTTTAACTCAGTCATTTTAATTCCTGATTTAGTCATAAACAAAAAAAATATTGAATTACCGAACTTGAAGCTGTAACAACTACACCCTCCAATGAATGATGAAATTGAAAAATCCTGAAGATTAAAAGCTTGATAAACTTGAAATCTTCTCCTAAACTTATGAACCAGTTCTACCATAACACAGAAAAAGGATAAAAAGACTATAGATAAGTGATTTACAAGCGCTTTCTACGAGTTCAGCAAACAAGGTTATTACACCAGTTCAAATTACAAACTCCATTTCAAAATTCAGTTTGGTTTGCAACCGTAAAACTGAAAATTCACACCTTTATCTAGCTACACTTTAGAGTAATAGCATAAATCCAATTAAGAAAACCCCAATGAGATTTAAAATGTTTCCATGGTCAACAAACGCACTTGGTGACTTTCTGTCTGAAGAGAGGTGAATCAGGTGTTTTTTAAACAGAAAAGCCAGTTTACACATGAACAAGAGTTTTAATCTTCAAAATAAATGTAAAAAGGACATCCAAAAAAGAAATGCGAGGAACATTGATTAATTGAATTGAACCCCAGTTTACACAAGAGCTTAAAAAGATAGTTAGCAACCCACTTACTGTCGTATGTAAAGCTGATTTAATAGTAATTTATGAGAAACGATACGCAGTAAACCAGATTTTTATTGGTTTCAGAAGCAGTTAACTATTTATCAAACTAAAATTTCATTAATTGATTATTGCAGTATGGTAGAAATTAAGCTGTAGACATGAACATAGAAGAGATGACTTATCATAAAATTGATACCAACTCAAAATTTCAAGTTAATAACACAATCTCAAATTCTATAGTTAAAAAGAACAACAAAATCTTGACCTAAAAATGCAATCAAAACAAAATTAAGATGCACAAAATGAAAATCAACTTAGTTACTACCCATGACCAGGTGTTCGTTCCTAATCAAACAAGCTGAATCCCATGTCGTCATCACTTTCTTCCTTTGGTTCTTCCTGTAATTACAACCGAAAACATCAATTAGATAACCAACATCTACAAAATTCAACAACAACAACAACAATGTGTTCACCAAAAAAACCTACCTTCTTCTCCTCGGTTGGAGCAGCAACTGCCGTGGCAGAAGCAGCAGCAACTGGAGCTGAAACAGAAGCAGGAGCCCCGCCTCCAACAGCATTCAAAATCAAATCATCAAGGTTTTTCTTCTCAGCAAGTTTCGCAAACAAGTTTGGCCAATAAGTTTCAACATCAACCTTTGCAGCTTTCAACAATGTTGAGATTTTCTCACCCTATTAACGACTTAAGGACAAAACAATCTACAAAAACACACTATCTTAAAAAAAAAACTTTCCTTATTCCCAAAAACAAAGTTCTAAATACACAAGTTCTAAAATTCTTCCAAAAAAATTACTTCTTAAAAAACGAAGTGTTTTGCCCATTATAAATTCATTGAAAATTCTAAACAAACAAGAGAAAAATCAGAATTATAGTCCTAGAAATCATGAAAATTGAAAATTAAAAAATTCCACATAATATTCAACTAATCGACTAAAAATGAAAACTTGGAAAAGGATACAGTGACTGCGATGTTATCATCATGAAGGATCATAAGCGAGTAGCTGCAAGCAACCTCTCCGAGCGACATTTTCACACTAATAAATCCAACAATCAAAAGAGGATAAAAAGCGATTTTGAATTAAGTTGATGAATTATTACAATGTGGCATGAATATTTGGCATAGAAATAATAAAGGAGAAGAAGGTTACCTTGAAGAAATGAGATCGAAAGCGACGAGAAGAGGATTTTCCCTGCGCTGTTGCAAAATGGGAAATCTGTAGATTAGGGTTTCAGGGTTTATGTACAACGATTACAGTGTTCAGGGTAGAGACAGTAATGGGCCGTATTTAAATAAGCCCATTTCAAAAGGGTGTGTAAAGCTGAAAGAGATCTCTTATCCCACTCTATATAGGATGTAGAAATACTCTATGAAAAATTCAAAATGTCATTCAGATTTCGGAGATATATCTTCATAGGCACTATTGTATTAAGTTAAAATGTTATAATTGATTCGGAGATACATCTTAAAAAATATTTCAAAACACACCTCATGCATCCCACTGAGTCACACCAACATATTTTGTAAACACGAATCTGAAGATACATCTCCAAAATATTTCAAACACATCTCATGCATTCCTATCTGAATCACATTAAATCAGACTTTTATTGACTTAGGGTGCGTCTGGAGATTCATTTGTGAATTTTGGGGGAATTTTTGTATTTTTACGTGGTGCCCTAGTAATACATAAGGTGCATTAAGAAATTCTCAAACTAAAAGGAAATTTCTCTCTATATTAAACCCCACGGGGTGCTTCCCCTTCACGGTGAAAAGTCACAATTGACCATAGAATTTGAAGATGTATCTCTATACGCACCTTCTTTACCCACTATTCAACGCAAATTTATGTTTCACTTATATTTTGCCAAAATTTAGTCCAGAGATGCGTCTCCATATCAACATTAGAGTGGACCCAAAGATGCATCTCTGTAACAACCCTTAATTCAAAATTCGGTGAGTTTTATAGAGATGCATATCTGAATGCGCTTAACTCATATATTCGCACCAGACCTTTCCCCTTCCTTCTTCATTTGCTGCAAACTTACTAAAACCTCATTTGAGCTCGTGAACAAGTTTCTTCAATTCCATTTTTAAAGGTTCAATCCTACTACTGCTTCACTATATTCAATCTCAGGTCATTCCACTCACTGAATTGAAGTTTTTTTTATCCATAACTCTCATTTGGTAAGTTTTTCATTTCATTTATTTTTTTAGATATGATGAATGTATTAGCTAAGATAGGTTGTTTAAGAAGCATTAGGTAGTAGTTACATTCGAAGTAGGTAGTTGGTATAGACATGCATTACCGTTTAGTTAGAGTTTATAACATCAATTCTTCCATTTCTAAAACTCGCGAGTTTATTCAGAGATGCATCTTCAGATATTTTCTAAATTGGTTTACGGACATGTATCTCCAAATTTGACTTGACCGCATTTTGATGTGATTTTTTGGTCTTATTACAGGTACAATGATTAAAAATAATTATGATAGTTTAAAGCTCAGCAGTGTGTCCCAACACGCGTCTATACAACTTGAAAGGTCCAAGGGCTGGCTCACGAGGCCACAAGTCATTGCTACCTCATTAGATGGTTCATAAGATCGAGGTTCACAACCATCTGCTTCTACTTCCCAAAGTCACATGTCTCAGGCATCTACTTCCTGGGACCATATGTCCCTTGGTTATAAAGCCCCTTGAAGCTTATGAAGTCATTCAAGAGGAACCTGTTGCTGATGCGGATGCCCTTGTAGATAGTTATCTAGGAGGCCCATTTGACACCTCATTATTTCATCTTTATGGAATGATATATGAACAAAAGAGTGAAAGAAAACGGGCCAAGCCCAAAAGCAAACCAAATAATAAAAAGAGAATATTTTAATGGACCCTATATGTTTCTTAGGCACTCCACAAAATTCCAAAAATGTTCCCAATTTCCGGAGATATATCTCCGGACGCACCTTAATACACACATTTCATTCGTTTTTTTAGTCAAACTCAAATTTTATGAATAAATTTATTTCAGAAATATATCTCTGAAAATTTTTCGGAGATATATTTTCGAAAATAGTACTGTTAACTTTTTAAAACTTCAAGCTCTATTTATAGCAGCTCCTTTTTAATTTTCATTCAACAAAACACTTATTCCGATTCATTAAATTATGAATACAATAACACCCAGAATAACCATCAACAACAACTGTTTATTAATTTATTTATACATTAACATTTTAGAATTACATCACCATATATTTCTTGCAGATGCCACTAAAAGGAAAACAAGGACGCACATGATTTAACAGTGGGTGATGGGCCCTCTGAAATCTTAAGGAATTAGTACCAATTAGTGTTAGATGCCAAATTTTGCTTATTTGATCTACCAAATGTTGGCATCTTTCACTCATTTTTGTCAAGAAAGTGTTGAAAACCACTCTTGCTTTGGTTGGTTTGCAACATTATGAGAAAACCTATTGGTACCTTTGTATTGTGTGTTATTGTGCAGAAATTAGGCATAAAACAAGTGAAAAGTAAGACACAAGAAATGGGCAAGGAAACCAAGACAGCATGCAAACAACAGCAAGTTCGCTAGGCGAACTTGCTAGCGAAGCTCCCTCCAGAACATCATGAAGTTCTCTAGGCGAACTATGAAGTGAAGGACTCGCTAGGCGAAGTGGTAGCAAAGCTTTAGCGAACACTCCTAGACTTGGACAGAGGCGAAAATGACCAAAACTCGCTAGACGAAGTTCACAGCGAAGGCTTCGCTAGGCGAAGGAATGCTCGCCTAGCGAACGTTTGGAAAAGTATCAGGGGCGGTTTGACTGTTCAGAGGCACCTCACGTGCCTAACTTACTGTTCGCTAGGCGAAGGATCTGTTCGCTAGGCGAACATGACAGATCCTGAATGTTCTATTTAAGTGTTTTTATTGCTTTTTAGGTCATATTCTCATTTATGTAATATTTTATACATCAGAACTTATCTTTCTTCATCTATTTTAGAGAGAGAAACACAAAACCCTAAGAGGGAGGAGGTAATATCTTTGATCTCTTGTTGGGGTTTGGATGTAATCTTTTGATACCTTATGTATTTCATCTAATATATGTTTGTGAACTAGTTTTGATTCTCTATTGATTGATTATCTTTGATTGCTTGTATGTGGGTATTGACAAAACCTTTTCACATCTTTGATCTAAGATTTTCATCTATCAATGAACAAACTTTTGACATGGTTTTGTAAGTTGATATTCATTGTATCTTCATTTGTGTTGTGTTGATTAAGTAACATGGGTAGCATGAGTAGGATCAATACGATATTGTGCGGGTGCGTGATAATAGTGATGAAGAACGATGTTCACAACCATTTGGCGGATTAGGTGAATACATGTAAAAAGGGTTAAGCGTGTGTACGTATTTTGATCATTGTATTTTATTCAAAACAATCGTTTATCCGATATGGGTGTCATCTTTGTTTACCTGTTTATCTTTGATTTGAATCGTGATAGAGATATACTTTTCAGATCTAGATCTAGGATGTTTACCTGTTAGGTCCTAAACGCTAGAGATAGGCTTAGGCTTAGCATTTGCGTGAGTATCAGTTCTTAATGCTATGTGTTGTGTTTTTGTTGGATGAGAGATCACCAATGAGACAACACGGTTGTTCTCTCGACGTTGCGTGAGAGATAACCTCTGTCGTGGGTGATACGCAAGGGTATTAGACGAATGATTGTGTTGTGTTTAATTTGATCAGAAGAATGCATATGTTATCAATTGATGAGATCCAATCCTAACAAGGCTCCATTTATATTTTAGTCTTACTTTATATTTTCCGTCTTTATATTTTTTGTTTTTATTCATGCTTCCTTGAACCTTTTGAACCAACTTTTGAACAACAGGCTTAGAAATATGGAAATCGTTGAACAGAGTTTGTATCGTATCGATCCCTGTGGAGACAACAAAACTGGGTACTTAATATTTTTTGCTTGCTACTTTACCGCACCAACAAAATGGCGCCGTTGTCGGGGATTGGTGTTGAGATATTGAAGTGCATTGCAACGGTTCTATATTTTTAAGCTTTGTATATTTGTTTATATTGTATATGTTTGTTTCTTTTTATGTTTTTTCTAGTGTGCTCAGGAATGATGAGAACTCCTTCTAGAGTGGTTGCTATTTGTACAAAATAATTCATTGAAGATTCGACCGAGTTTGGATGACAATGATAGTATGGAACAATGGAATGTTATCAAGGTACATGGTTTCTTTGGTTTAGAATTTTAGAATGCTTAAGAACTTAAGTCTTTGTGCAAATGAGATTTGTTCTTTTAGCAACTTGTTAGAATGAATGTTTGACTTAGGACCAAAAACCACAATTTGTGAGAAAACTTCCATTGTTTACTAAATGCTGGATTTCTGATAAACTTTGTTGATTCGTGTGATTCATGCTTTATCTTGTTATCATTGTGAATTTGTGGAAGCATTAGATATGATCAAGGCATTTGTTTATATTGAGCACAACTATGTCCAAATGCAACTTACCCGTGAGTAGATAGAATTCGTTAACCCCTTTGAGCCTTAAAATGTGAATCTCATTCTGAATTTTGTGAGATTCCAAAAAAAATTTTGAACCCTTGAATTTGTTTTAATTGTCCTCTTTGCCATAAAAATCCAAGAGCGTTCACTTGAGGGTTGAGTAAAAGTTAAGTTGGGGAGAATGAAAAGGAAAGATGCTAGGTTGCTACAACTTTTGAAAAACTCAAGCAAGCATTGAAAAAATTGTTATGTGAATATGAATATAAAAAAAAGAGAAAAATAATGTTTGTTTGAAAAAGAAAAATAGTGAAAGAATAAGTTGTGAAATAAGAGTTGGGAAGGTTTACAATCGAAAAACAAATGGAATGAAGTTGAGGTGTGTAAATAACGTGTACGGTGAATGTCTCTTTTGCATCGGCAATTTCGTTTCAATGGCCTTAGAAATGTCCCTTTTTTGTAAACCCGACCAAGCTACAACCTTAAAGACCTTAGTGATCTTCTTGCTTC